TCTAGTTGCTTTCTGTGGTATAGCTGAGATGGGCAGCTTGTTTTTGGAATCACTGGGAAAAAAATCACAATAATAATCTCAGCATCTAAATATTCAAGTGGCTAGAAAAGATAACTGGATTAAAAACTGAAACAATTTTATAAGATCTAATTTGTAATGGAACAACTTCCAGATCTGGTCTTCTCAGAGCAGATCACAGTAAGTAGTATAAAGACTGAAAAGGTCTAAACAGTAAGTAAGGATTTCTAGCTGTGAAAGGTTACTGCAAATCATCTGTGAAACCTATTATTTTATATTATTTCATACTATTTTATTTTATATTTTAATAAGAGAGCTTTGTATACTGTGCTTCATTTGTGCTTGTCTTGTAACAGATGTGTGAAAGATTTATTTTCAAATGCTATCCTGTTTACAATGTTTACTGCCATTCAAGAAAGGAACTTACCGATAACATTTTCAGATCTCTCATTTCTAACTGGGCAGCAGATGAGACTCCTTTTCAGTTCATCAGAACTCTTCGACATATTAAGTGTTTCCATAGAAGTCAGGGTTCGAAAGGCATATGATGGATCTATATTCCTGAGGTCATGCTCCCTGAAAAATTATACTTTCAAATTACAAAACCCCCCAAATATCCCATATTTGTTTTAAAAGTAAATCAACAGCAAGGACTTGCAAAGTCTCCGGACAATACCTTCTGTAGATCTGGCAGGTTGATCCGAGCTCCTCACATTCCAAATGTATAACTCTTGAGAATAAAGTCTGTAATCAAAAGACAAAAATGAAAAACAAAAACAAAACAAAAAAAATGAAAACCTTGTGCATGGCTAAAAATATTGTACTATATTCTGAACAGACAAAGTAATGGAAAACAAGGAAATTGAGCAGGATGTCAAGATAGTGTACCTTTGCTTCAGTGTCTGAAGTTTGCTCACTGGGGATAAAGATGGTGCAGTATTGAGCGTGTGTAAAGGGCATGATGGTGGCAGCCATCTTACTCAGCATAACTTCAAGGGAATAGTGCTCCTTTGATAGTACTTGTGCCATCTCTATCAAAGCCTGGACCACACACACACACACACACACACACATATGCATGAAGATATTACTTAGATATACATGTTACAAGGCATAAAATGATTTTAAACTGTTCTCTGGCTTTACCTTACTGCGTTTAGCCTCTTGTCTCGCACCTTCATACAGCTGGACATTATCCAGGACAGTCCCCAACACATCCATGTGATTTGACAACACCTTAAAACAAAATCAAACGCGTATTTATCGGTGGTAAGCATTAAGATAAGGCAAATATCTGACATTATAAATAATGTATAATAGAAAAAAAATCTCCATACTAATGTCCAATCCCTCACCTTTTCATCAACGTTTGTAAAAACAGAACGTGATCCATCGCAACTATTTCTTTTGTTGATTATTAGCAGGACACCTAAAACCTGTTCAAAAAAAGAAAACGTTTTATTTTCATGCAATCTATATTTAAAATTCTGTTATGACAATGGACAATATGCCACTGAAAAATCCACAGGACTCTGAGTGTGCATTTACATTAGTTAAAGGTATTTGCAACGGCACACATACCTCTCCCCTGTGGTTGCTGATAGGAACACTCAGAACCGTCCTGATCTTTGATGTTTGATCATTGGCTAAGTTAAATCTGGGGTCCTGTTGGGACAAATAAGGAAAACATAAGTGCATGTAAGAGGATCACTTAATATTAATTACTTAACAGCAACATGTTTTAAACATATCCTATCCAACAGTCTTATGTATGTTAGATATTTGTGGCAACTGATTAGCAACAGACTTTAATACCTAAACTAACTTTATTCTCTTCATAAACCTTTGTTGTTAAGCTATTGGGTCAGCGCTGTTCATCAGCTTTAGCCACATCTGACCAAAAATACCCACACTTCTCAGGATGCTTGGCATCTACCAAGTTATTAGGGACAACCCATGCACACCCACGCTGACTGGGTTTACCTGGTGTTCAACTCTGCCAGGCACACATTCCTAATCACCTTACTTGTGAGGGCAAGAAGAGCTCCTGTGACCACCACCTGTAAGCCTTTTAGACAGCTTTGGCATGAATCTACTTTTGTGGGGGTGTATGTGTGGGCATGTGCAAGGAAAGGACAGTAATCCAAGGTTTATCACTGGAAGCAGTCACTAAAAGGATTAAAAGAAACTGCGTCACCAGGGATTCCCTATCAGGCTTCTTCAAATAGCCATGTCATCATCTCAAAACCGGCTTTCAGGAAATGGGTGACTCATTAAACACGCAGTCCTCATTTCTGATTTTAAATCCCTCGCCTGTGCCCTGGAACATGGGAGTTAAGCCTACATGTACAATCATGACATCAAGATTTACCTCAGATGCATCTCTTAGATTTATTGGTGAAGCTGTAGCCATTACGCATCCCATGATCCCTTTTACCAGTTCTAGATGAGCTTGGCTGTATGGGTTTCCCTCATTCAAGTGCCCCAGTGATGTTAGGGCTATCACGTCTTCCAAGCTACTCCTTCCACCACAGTGTTTCCGTACAAGAGAGAGCGAACCACCCTCTGCTCCCAGTAGCTCCCCAACATGGATCACAGCCCCCTGGCAGAGCTCTGCTAAAGAACCCATACAGCTTAGGCCTTCTCCTAGGAGCCCCATCATCCAAGGGCAGCCGTCACCATGGCCACATGATGTGGATGGAAAAAACTGTGGATGGTGGGATAAGCTAGATGAGCAGGGGCAAACGGGAGCTCGTGGTTGACAGGGACAAAACTGAAAACGGGAACAACGAGGTAAGCAGAGAGAGCATGGTGAATGGCTTTCTTTAACATCTGGACCAAAGTGGTCCATCCATTCAGGGACACTGAGATTTGAAGCGAGGCGTCTGTCTGTCAAAGTTAAAACGTTCAGGTCTGAGCTTCTCAATGGGGAAGAATTTCTCCGATAAGGTGCCTTCATGAGCGCCTCGGAATGATCAGAGCTCCTCCTTTGAAACCTTGACAGAAGTGGGGACATCTCTGTCTGTGGACAACTGACCCTGAAATCATACACAGATTACATGATTTATTTAAAAGCAAAACTAAAATAAAGTACTTAAAATTAGTATAATAAGTATTAAACGTATATGTGGAAACATAATTTTATCCAATCCAGCTTATATTTTCATTACTATTAAAGTGTTCACCTTTACAAGCGTTTTATTCAACAAAAGTTTGTTAAAAACGTTTTAATCGCACGTTATAATTTTGAGGGATTTGAGTATTTTGAGTTTCAGCTAAAACTGTAGAGGTATAAAATGTAAACTCTTACGGCGAGGTTCTGCGTAAAAAGTAAGCCCTTGTGAAGTCGGAGTGGTCATCCAACCATGCTTCCTCTTGGTAGCTTGTCGCACCATCTCCAAACTTCCTGCTACGCAACCTGGACCTTGGACTCCACAGTGGGGAGAAGAACCAACCCGTGTCTTGCACCATCGGCGAATCGCTCACGATTTCCCTGCGGATCGACTCCGCGCCAGCGTCCGAAGATGCCCCAGGAGTCACGCTGCCAGGCTCCATGGACTCTAGCGCTTCAGAGTGAAGGCAGGGCATCCCCTCGCTCAGGTAAATCGAGAAAAGATCGGGTAAACTCAGTTTTTATGCCCAGTGAGCTATCTAAGAGAAACACCTCGAACGCGAGGAGGCAGAAAGTAAGACAGACTAACGACTTGCCTGAGAGCAGAGCATAAAGAGCCCGTGAAAACGATTGCGTCAAGGTAATCCCTTGACCTTTATTTAGCCGATATCCACTAAAGGAACTTAATTAAATGGATTTGCTCTAACCCCCGGCTCGTACATGTTGTGAACTCATCATTTAAATTTAACACCCGTGTCCAAGTGTCCAAAAAAGTAAATATCTTAGAACTAGGAAAACCAACCTATTGTGATATTTATTTGTACAATAACAAAAAAGCACCAACATGTCCTCATTTAAATAGTAAATAATAGGTTAATCCTAATTATTTGGCTTGAAATACAGAACGAGCAATAAAACCAAGTAAAAAGGACAAAATATGGTTTAATCATCATAAGTACACAGCATATTATGTGTTATTCACTTACGTGATGTGGATAAAGTATAAATTAACCTTTAAGCTTTATATTAAAAAGAGCATGATAGGTGATCACATGATCAGTAAATATTTGAGCTTCGCAATTTAGACCTTTAGTATTAAAATAAACAACCAAAAACAACACAAACACAGTCAGATATCATTACAGATATATAACATTAACTGGACATTAGTAGAGTATTTCACACTGTGCTAATATGTTACAAAATAGTACTTTGTCCTCTTAAACAAGAAATAAATTTGAGTAAAATGTAACTGAAATATATAAAATCAAATGTTTCTTTTACTTAAATAATTAATGATGGAGCAAAATAGGCTTGGTGTAAACTGAATACCAACTGTATACCAGTCAAGTACATTTCATTTAGCCAGATTCTGTTAAACACATTTATACATGCAACATAAGTACAACATAACATAAATTGTACTCCTTGAAAAAAAAAGAAAAGCTGAAGATCATAAAAGCAAGGTGACCAGAACAATGTTTATTTAGTTTTTAGGGAATATCACATAGTGCTGTAATATGAAAGGGCTTTTCAAACATTCTTTGACTGATATCTTGTTTATCCTTCTCTTATCATGTTTTATTTTCTGGAGACAAATAACTGAAATTGTAGCGACATACCATCAATTGGTGTGTGAGGGTTTTTTTTTAAAAGTTTCTTGTAAAGAATTTTTCTTTCATCTGTTTAAATTGCTATGCAGTCTTCAATATTATTTTTACTTTGGACAGAAAACTGCATGCTGGTATGTGCCACTCAGTATTTAAGGACTCCCTCTGCTGGTCTTGGGTACTTCTCATCACCTGCAGTGGGTGGATCCTCCAGTGACAGCTATACTGTGATTGGCTGCTCCAGTAGGAGGCTGCCATGACACATTGGATGCTGCACAGATCCACAGCATCAGCAGGCAACGGACCTCCATCCTCCTCGTTATCCCTCTCTCTTTCTCTTTTTTCTCCTCCTTTGCCTCTCCTCCTCTCACTACTACCCCTGCTCTCTCTTCTCTGTCCCTTCTCCTCCCACTTGGAAAGACACGCAGGCCTGTTTGAGTACACTGCAGCAGAGGTCCATTAACACAACAGCAGCAGGAATAGCAGCAGCAGCGACAGCAGCAGGCGGACTGGTAGGTGTGCTGAGGCCTGTCTCCCTCCTTATTGCAGCACAGGCAAGACATCGCATTCTCCTCTGATCGCTGTCAAGGACTATCTTTTTGAGAAGTGTGCGTGCATGTGAGAGCAGGAATCTGGCAAGTAGTCAAAGAGGACTACCACACCCTGGGAACATTATTACCAGTGGTAGGGCTGAATGTAGCAGCTGATATTTTCATTCTCATGCTATGTTCATTATGTACTTATTTCTGAGCTTAAACACAAGGATTCATCTTTTGCTTTTCTCTGCTCTAGTTGTTTGTTGCTTTTCCTTCATTCTACAGCACTGTGATTTGATTCAGCACCCACTAGGCCTTGTTCGTCTACACACGTGTCTTTGCTAATGAATGCATTGAATGTCTAACTAAGGTCACATCATTTGCCATGCTGTGCGCACATATTGTCAGCCTACCTAATGACAGCCTTCGTCTTTCCTTTCCAAAGCTGTCTTCATCACCAGCCTCTCCATCCACCTTTCTCTCTTCTGTCCTCCTGCATCTTAATTTCCTCTCACTCCCATTCCTCTTTCTTAAAATCCTCTTCCTCCTTCCCCCACCCCTTGCATTCCAGTCTCAATCTCTTCGACGTGCCTTTTCTTCTTCCTGCCGGCTGGTTTCCCAGGATGCCTTTTTCCAGGCCGCTCCGTTAGGCCCTACCAGCATGGGCGGAGACTGGGTGGGGAGAGACATTACGGATTGGACCCTTCCCCTCAGGACGGGCGCACTGGCGGGTCACCCTCCCTCAGCTTCAGATGGGCGAGGACGCTGAGAGCCCCAAAATCAACCACACCTTCCTGCGAGACTACGTCACTGAAGGTAGAGCAGACGATGTGTCGCTGCCATCTCTGTGGTGTCAGATAACATACTGGTATAATTGAACAGATTAATTTCAGCTTCCTGCATTGCACAGTAGAAGGAATGTATGATGACACTGCCTGACTCAGCAACAGACACTTTCATAATTTAAATTTTCCTTAGGCATCATAGACATAAATGGTTGATTTATGGTTTAGAGTAACTGAAATAATATGTGATTTTATTTTTTCTTTCATTGCCAGCCTTTTCTACATTGTTATGGTCACTTAATCATCTGTGCTTTTTTTGCCATGCCTGCCTAATGTTCTCGCTACTCTATCATTGCTGCGGTTTTCTTTTCTTCTTTCTATACTTTTGTTTAATTGCCTCCAATGTTCCTATCTTCCTTACAGCTGATGTCATCTCTACAGTGGAGTTTAACCAGACAGGGGACCTTCTGGCCACGGGGGACAAAGGTGGCCGGGTGGTCATCTTTCAGAGAGAGACTGAGGTTAGTTTACAATGCAAAACCACCACTTTCTGTACACATGCTTTTTAAAAAAAAATATCTTCGTACACATACTGTAAATGCATGCTGAAAGCCGTGTTTTCCTCACTGTCTGCCCTGGGCAGCCGAAAGGTGAATCAGAGGAGGTGGGCGAGACAGGGGACTCTGGGGAGTACAATGTCTACAGCACGTTTCAGAGCCACGAGCCTGACTTTGACTACCTGAAGAGTGTGGAGATAGAAGAAAAAATTAATAAGATCAGATGGCTGCCACAGCAGAACGCAGCACATTTCCTCCTCTCCACCAATGGTGAGAAATCAGTGACTTCTCAGTCTCTATCAGAACATCATATTGATTGTTGGTTGTGGTAAAATGAAGTACAGGAAGTATACATGCATATAGGTTTTATATCTATATATCTAT